GGTGCAGAGGAGAAGGAAGGAGGGAGGCAGAGAAGCGAGCACGCCTGTCCTGGGCCAGCCGTCCAGCTGTGGTTAAAGGCACTCTGTGGGACAGTCTGGCTCTCTGCTCCCCCCCAGTTTCCTATGGGAATGAGGGCTGTGCGCTCTTGCGGTTTGTCCACCTGCCCGCCTGTAGTGCCTAAACCTGTAGCCAGTTTCAGCCCAGTTTGTTGGGAATTAGCATCCCGCAGGTCAGTGTGCGGGGACATGGCTCCTCTTGCTGGGGGAACGGCCCTGAAGGATGCACAGCACTTATTAGACATCAGAGAAGCTGCATGGGCTTTGTTTACCCCATGAACACAGTAAGGCTTTTTCACTGCTGCAACTCTTGTTTAAAACCAGAGCTTCTGGGCACTTTTCTGGCTTTGGTGAAGCTGCCAGGCTCCTTCCTGACCCTAAGGGGAGCTGGGCAGGGGCTGGTGAGTGCTCGAGCCCCTGGGGAAGGGGTACCGCGGGCTCTCCCCGAGAGGCATGCAAGGACCCTGGCCATCCTCGGAGCAGGCAAAACTTTGGGGCACGTCATGGAATTTTGCTGCTCCAGTGTAGGCCCCAGAGTTACGGGCTGCTGGTTGCTTCAAAGAGGGGGGGACGAGGGGAGTGCTGCACTCCAGGCGAGGCAGGGGCATAATCCACTGTTATCGTGGGCTCAGCAGCGACCGCAGACTTAGCCATGTCCTTTGGGAGAGGACAGTGGTGAGACTGGCCTAAGACAAGCCAGGGAGACATCTTGCCTGCAGATTTCTCCCTGTCTGGGAGGTCTCGGGTGGGTGTGAGCTCCTTCCCACACCCCAGTGTCCCCACTGGCAGTGGGGAGGTTGCCCGGCTGGCTGAGCTGGACCCGTGTGTGTAACACAGCCGATACTTGTGGTGCTGCAGCCGTATGACAGCTCTCAGATGAGGAGCCCAGATTCCCTGTATCATCCAAGCTGTTAAACTCTTTATTACCATCTTTCTGTCTTGCGGCTGCAAGCATTTAATCTTGCTGAAGTTCTGCTCTGTTGGGGCAGCCCTGTCCCCTGGCAGACATCCCTGCCGGGGGCGGGTGGATGTGTCCCACGCTGGTGCAGCCACTGTGAGTTGGGGCCAGTGCAGAGCTGCCCACGTGCAGGTTTTGGGGGGATGGACCGGGAGGTACAGTAAGGGGTACGCAGCACAGGGGTGGTTTCCCTAGCGGTGGTTTCCTCCCAGCAAACACTGGGCAGGTAGTGATGGTCAGCAAGCCTTTCCCCAGCACAATCCCACAGGGACCAGCTGTGCGTGTCCCCCCTGGAAGGAGACCTCGCAGCACTTGCTTTGCTTCCTTCAGAGATGGCCCTCCAAGGAGCATTTCCCTCCCAGCGCGTGACTTCGGTACCCCAAACCCACCCGACTTGCCACGATTGCTCCCCAGGACTCACCCTGCTCCACCAGCGGTGGTCCTCCTGGTCGGTGGGCAAAGGAAAACCTCCAGTCGTTTCTCCATCCACCTTTGGTGGTCCTGCTCCTGTGTGGGGATGATGCCCATGGCATGTTTGCAGAGAGCCCACTAACTTCCCCTTAGGGCTCAGACTTTTCCCCCTGTCCCTTTATTTTTTTTCTGTAAGGAGCGGGGGAGATTACTTGCAACTCCAGCAGAACAAACTGATGTCCAGCAACTAGCCCCATATAGCTGGGGCCTGAAGGGTCGGGGTGGACCTGCCGCTTAGCCCAGCCACAGATTAACTAATTAATTAATTAGGTGAGTTCACTTTCAGCTGGTATGGGAATACAGAGCATTTTTGGCAGCTGTTTTGCAAACTGGCGACGTGTCTTGGAAAAGACAAACCGGGATCACGGAGTTGCTCAGAGCCCGGGAAGGGTGCCTGTACGGAGGGAGTTGCGGTTCTCCCAGCATCAAGGTCATGCATGAAATATGAGAAATTACCCTGAGAAATTCTGATCCTGGAGGAGGAGGAGGAGTAGTTCATGACTTCAGAAATACCAGATTTGGGAGGGGATGGAAGGGGAAGGGATATATTTTCCTTTTCAAAATACCTAAGGAATTCAGCCTGTGCTGCGGAGACAATTAGATTTCGCCCCTCAGTGCAGAAGGGGTAGTTCATACCCATGTGTCTTGTTAAGGGTTCAGTTGCTGTGGGTGAAAAGCCCTCCCATCCCACTGCAATCCCAGGCATGTACGGTTTTTAAATCACCCTAAAATCAAGAGTGGTTCAAATGTGAGATTTAAAGAAAATGCTGCATGCCCCCCTATTCTCTCTGATCTCAATGGCTTTAAGTTAGATTTTGGTCACTTTTTCCAGCTGTGAGTGGCTATTAGATTAACTTATGTGTATACAAAGTTATTTATATATTTACATATATGTTTGTGATTTCACATAATTGTATGATTCCATGAGCTGAGGTCTGTTACAAAACACAAAGGTTGGCAGCTCTGCCACGGCAGCTGCAGCGCGGTGGGAAGGGGGATGATGGTACGTGCATGTCCGGGGCTGCTCAGTCCATCCCTCGGGGGTCTCACACCGGTGGGGCTGGCAGGGTGGCCTCGGCCAGTGATGGGAAAGCCTGCTTTCCCCCGTGAGAGCATCTCAGCAACATCGAGAGGAAGAGCAGGGGCTGCCTCAGGGTGGCTCCACGCTGGACGCCTGATGCATATGCTGGGGTGGGATGGGGATTTGGCCTCTGTGCCCGGCGAGCTGTGAGCCTTGGATCCTGTCTGGCATTTTTCCCCAGCCCTGCCCCAGCTGGCGGCCGGAGGGGGTAGGTAGGGGACCCGGCTGCTCCCAGGGGCCCCGACCAAATTCAGCTGTCTGCCCGGTGGGCTGGTGTGGGGTGGGTCTGGCTGCTCGCGGTGAAGACATTGAGTCTCTGCTGGCAGGGAGGGAAGACTAGGGAAGGGCTCGATGTGAAGGCTCGCTGTGTCTTTTGGCTCTCCAGCTCGGAGAGCAAGAAACTCAGCTTGAGCTGCAAGACCTGCCCCAGCTCCCAGGCTCGGTCGGCCTCCTGCAAGCAGGGATGCAGGAAGGCATCTCCTTCCCTGGAGCGGGCATCTTTCCCATCAGTCGACTGCAATTTCAGTGGTGAAATTCCAGCCTGTGGATGCCGGAGCAGTGTCCAGAGCCGAGTGTGCTGCGTCCCATGTCAGGCCCACGCGGAGGGATGTTGCAAACCGTGTTTTCAGCCATCGGTGCTTGGGAGCAGCTCATGTTGACACGCTCCTGCCTGCACCGCTGTGGGAGCAGGTTGCTGCCCACCGTCTCTCTGCCTGCCTGCATGGGGCTGCTGCCCACCCACCGCACTGCTCTGCCCGGTGCTGGACCCAAAACCCCAGCTGAGCCCCCAGAAAAGCCACCAGCAGTCCTGTGCCCTGGCCTGGCTGCCAGCATAGGGCCTGGGATGTTGTTCCTGCCTGGGCTCTTGGCCCTGTCCGGGCAAGTGGTGTTGCACCCACTCTCCAGAGCTCAGTTCCCACCATGTTTAACCTGGGAGTGGGTTGCAGCCTTCTGGCGTGGCAGCAGTGCAAATAATGACCCTTCTACAATGAAAAAAGGACGTTTTTAGTATATGCATTGAATCTTTCTCCGTGTGGATGCTCCCACCTATTCAGCTGGTCTTAAAAACAGCATCAGCGATGCCAGTGGATACTTGCAGGCCCCTGTGTTTCCGTATGCATGTGCCAGCAAATTTCCCCTGTGCCTTGGGGTCTGCATTGCTGTTGCTGCCGGTCGGACCCTGTGTCAGTGGATGTGCTGTCTGTATGTCCGTCTGCATGTGTGCGGGTGGGTGCACTCATGTGGGCAGTGGGCATGCACGTGGCATGCGACTGCGAGTGGGATGCTGGGTTTTTTTAGCTCCTGATTATTATTAGTGGTAGGAGCCCAGCAGCAGTGAGGCTGGAGGTGCCCGAGACCTTAAGAAAAACAACAGGAGGGAGGAGGCTTCGCATTCCTGCTCCCGAATTGAGTCGGAGGTGACAGCCTTTCCCTGCAATGCAATTAATCCCAGCAGCGCCTCTGCCACCCTCCCCCTCCCGCCTCGTCCAGGAATTAATTACTTGATTATAAATCCCAGAGTGGCGGTTTATAATAGCAATAATCCCCTCGAAATTCATCCTCGCTGCTGGTTTCTTCTCATCTTGCCCCCATCATTGAGAGTCTCTAACTCCGTATCTCTGTGCTGGGCAAAGCCCTTCTTCTTGACCCGCTGGGGTGGTGGCTTTTCCCCGGGATAACTACGGAAGAGGGAAAATTTGGAGTTGATTTTGAGGAACAGGGAATGGATCCCGTCTCTCATGAGTAGTGGGTTTCATCCTGGCCAGGGGAGCGTGCAGAAGGAAAGCACTCACGCCAATAGCTGGGGATAAAGGTTTGTCCCAGTTATTTTGCTGATGGCCCCGGCCCAGCCTTGAGGAGTTGGGGCCAGGGCCTGGCAGCGTGGTGGCGGGAGGCCCCGTTCCTCCTCTCTCTGTCCCTCCTGATTACGCTGACGCTGGCTCTGGGGCTTGTCACGAAGGCAGGGAAGGGAGAAAGGATTTGCCGTGGCGTATGGGGATGTGAGGGGGTGGCGATATCTCATGGGAGCCTGCTGTTGATGGGTGATGGGCCTTGAAACAGTGCTGCCACAGTGAGAGATGAGCCTCTCTGTGTCCCCCCGCAGCGTCCCCAGGGCTTGGCTCTGACCAAACCCCAGTGACCGCACTGCAAGTACCTACCCGAGGGGCTGCCCCCATCCAGGGGACCCAAATCAAAGTCCCTGGATGGTGAAGCAGCCCAGCACACACAGCTCCTCTGCGTGGCTGTTGAAATAACGGTGGTTCCACCTCCACCAGCCACACGTGGGCTTTCAGCTCGGCAGTGGCATCCCACTGGGAAGAAGCACTGTCCCTCCCGAGCTGCATGGGCAGAGCTGGTCTGGATGGCACCAAAGCTTCCCTGCATGTGTGGCCTCTGGGCTCTGACGGCTGCTTCTCTCTCTTGTCTCTGCAGAAGATGCTGATGAAGCAGCAGGACCGCCTGGAGGAACGGGAGCAAGACATCGAAGAGCAGCTCTACAAGCTGGAATCGGACAAGCGGCTGGTTGAGGTAACTGGTGCTTCACCCTGTGGCGGCCAGCCCCAGGGACTGTCACCCCATGGCATGAAGGGGACAGGCTCCCGGGGCACAGGGGCCAGGTGGGCAGGGAGGAGCGGCCGGACAGACCTGCTGTCTCCATTCCAGTCTTGGCAGTCATCCTTTTGGGGGACAAAATGTGTTTGGGGTGCCCTGCGGCCTCGTGGGTCCTGGGGTGAGCTGGGAGGTGAGGAATAAGGCTGTCCTTAAATATCAGATGGCCCATGCTGCCCTCAGCACAACTTTCCCTGGGCCACCCGCTTCATCCCGAGCAGGAGGGGAGGGTCTGGAGGTGGGAGATCCTGAATAAACTGTTGAAATACCCAGGAGGTGACAGAGATGTAAGCGAGTGTTTTGCTGGGACACAGGTAAAACAAGATCAGCTCATGGTCCTTAAAGCCCCTTGGCCTCCCATAGTGTGGAGGGAAGGGCTCTGGAGCGTGATGTGTCCCCAGCCTGGGATGGGGATGAGGATGAGGATGGGAATGGGTATGAAGATGGGGAAGGGCAGGGTTTTTCACGGGAGCACACCTTTCTCAGAGGTGTGGCAGGTTGTTGCTTGGTATGAGCTCTTGGGAGATGATCCCCACCTAGACCCCGGGAGGTAGGTCCAGGGGATCTGCTGGATCAACCAAACCTCCAGTGTCCCTGTTGGGTCTCTGGCACATAGGAGTCCTCTGTGGCACCTGATGGCAGGGTTTGATCTGTGTGGGTGTTGCAGGAGAGCAGAGCTGTGGGGCAGCTTTCAGGTCGCCCCCACCCTTGCTGGGGAAAGGACCCAGGTGTTGGGACAACATGGTGGAGGTTGGAGGGCACAGAGGGCCTGACCCTGCTCCTCTCCCTCAGGAGAAGGTGAGCCAGCTGAAGGACGAGGTGCGCCTGCAATACGAGAAGATGCACCAGATCTTGGATGAGGACTTGCGGAAGACCATGGAGATCCTGGACAAGGCCCAGGCCAAGTTCTGCAATGAGAACGCAGCCCAGGTCCTCCACCTCAATGAGCGCATGCAGGAGGCCAAGAAGCTCCTCAGCTCTGTCCAGGTCATGTTTGACAAAACTGAGGACATCAACTTCATGAAGGTAAGACAAGCTGCCTGTGCTGGAGGTGGGCTGGGGGCTGTGGGGAGGTCTGGTTGTGTGGGGAGCATCGAGAAGGCGTGGGGCGTGGTGGGGAGCAGGCTGGGGGTGCTGACAAGGCCAGCTGATGCTTCCAGAGGACTCAGCAGTGGGAGAAGGCAAGGAGGAGCGGGGCAGGCTCAGCACCAGCCTCAGATGAGGAGGTTGTCACAGCTGGAGATGGGGCTGGGGCAGCCTGTGCTGGGGGGAGAGGGGGCTGAGCACCCTTGGGCAGCCTGTCCCTTTTGGGGGGGCCACAGAAGGTGAGACCAAAAGGGGAGGTGGCCGCTGGGGCAGGGACTGGCCTTACTGACCAGAGCTTCTCCTTCCCCTCCCTAGAACACCAAGTCTGTGAAAATCTTAATGGACAGGTAAGTGCGGCGGGGCAGGCATGTTTGGGAGGGGGGAAGGCTGTCGCAGGGGTGGCAGCAGCACGATGTTCAGAGGAGGAGCAGGGCCTGGGAGAGGCATGCTCCGTGCCTCGGTTTCCCTCTCTGTCTGGGAGGATGAAAAAAATCCCCTTCTGCAGCCGTTGAATCAAGTCCTCCCCTTGGACAAGGGTAGGATCAGCTGGGTTGGGGCACAGGGCTCAGTCCAGCTCTGCTGGGGCAGAGGCAGGGCAGGGGGTTAAAACCAGCCCTAGCAGAGCCGAGGCGAATGGGATGACCATGCGGGGGGATGCCAAGGCTGCAGGAGGTGAGCCCTGGCACGGGATGTTCCCAGCAAAGCTGGGCAGGGAAGGGCCTGCCCGTCAGAGAGAGCCAGCTCCCTGCTGCCCTCACACTGCTGCCCTAGGGAAGGGGGTTGGCCCTGGGAGGGTGTGGGGGAAGGATCCGTCTGACCCTGAGTGTACCTTGTCCCTCATGCCTCTCCTCTCTGCCCACGGTCCCCAACAGGACCCAGAACTGTACAGGTGGCAGCCTGCCCCCACCCAAAATCGGCCACCTCAACTCCAAGCTCTTCCTGAACGAGATCGCCAAGAAGGAGAAGCAGCTCAGGAAGTTGCTGGAAGGTGGGTGAAGCCTGAGGGGTGCAGAGGGGGCGACACGGGACCTCACTACCTCCTGTATCCATAGCTGGATGCCCTGCAGATCCCAGCACAAAAGGGTGGGGAGAGCTTTTGGGATGCAGGGACCCCTGGGAACCCCTCTGCGGTCAGCAGGGACACGGGGACACCGTGAAGCCAGCTCCTGGCTCTCCCCAGGACATTTCCATTGGCTTGTGAAACGGCTGTGTTTTGGGGTGACACAGCGGGCGGGCTGGCCACTGGCAGGAGAAGTCAGTGGAAAGATGGGCAGGGACAACCAGGGGCTGGTGTGGTCCCACAGCCCATGTCCTGCAGAGCCTTCCCAGTCCTCTCTCCTTGAGGGATTTGGGTTTGTCGCCGGGGCTGTCCCGCTCTGATCCTGTTACGGACCGTGGTCACGAGCTGTGCGTGGGCTCAGCCTGCGCAGGCGTTCGCAGAGCAGCGCCTGGGGCCGCTCGGATCCTGCCGGCACGGTCCCAAAACAGAACCTGCAAATTCACCGGCGCGCAGCTGTGTGCCCGGCTTGCTGCTGGCGGGGCGGGCTGGGACGCCCTCCGCTCGCGCGGGGCTGGAGCACGAGTCTCAGGGCTTCGCTGCAGGCTCGTCCCAGTGGCCAGAGCACCCTGGAGCTGCGCTGCGCCGTGCTTGACTCATCCCCCCCCCCCCCCCCCCCCTTCCACTCTCCTGTTCCCTTCCACAGGTCCTCTGAGCACCCCCGTCCCCTTCCTGCAGAGCATCCCCATGTACCCCTGCACCGTCAGCAACTCCGGCGCGGAGAAGCGCAAGCACTCCACCGCCTTCCCCGAGGGCAGCTTCCTCGAGCCATCGTCCGGGACTGTGGCGAGCCAGTACATGAGCCAGGGCGCTTCGGCCGGCGAGGGGCAGTCCGCACAAGCCATGGTGCCTTGTAGCTCCACGCAGCACATAGTTGGACTTCCCAGCGGCCCGCAGCCGGTGCACTCGGGCTCCGTCTTCAACCCATCTCACTACCCCAACACCACGTCATCTCAGCAGTCCGTGCTCTCCCAGTACGGCGGGCGCAAAATCCTCGTCTGCTCCGTGGATAACTGTTACTGTTCCTCCGTGTCCAACCACAGCGGGCACCAGCCCTACCCGCGGTCGGGGCACTTCCCCTGGACGGTCTCCTCGCAGGAGTACTCGCACCCGCTGCCGCCCGCCCCCGCCGTCCCCCAGTCGCTCCCGGGACTTGCCGTGAGGGAATGGATTGACGCATCCCAGCAGCACGGGCGGCAGGATTTCTATAGAGTCTACGGCCAGCCATCGGCGAAACACTACGTCACCAGTTAACCGTCACACTCTCCGGAGAGTCCCGCTCTTTGACGCGTTTGGAGAGAAAAGTCTGGTTTGGTTTGGCTTCTTTTTTTTTTTTTTTTTCCCCCCCCTTTTAAATCAAACCCAATTTTTTCCCCACCTCACACCCCTCCAGGATTTTGGGGAGGGTTGTTCTCTCATATCTCTCTTTTTTTTTTTTTTTTTTTTTTAAATCCTTTTAAAACAAAATAATTTTTTTTTTCCTTTTAATTCTTTTTTTTTTTTTTTTTTTTAATTTAATTTTGGAAAGTCCTTCCTGCCCCTCGCTGGGAAAAGACGAGGGAGAAAATACCGAGAAGAAATTGATGGGGATTTCAGTCGGGCGTCTGGGTCTGTGCGTCGCGCTCTTCCTTGCTCCTCTCTGCCTTTGGAAAACTTCAGAAGGGACAATGGCACCTTCGCTCTTTCCATTTCTCCGAGTTCATTTTTTCTGGTTTGGTTCAGTTTTTTCCCTTTCCCCACCCCTCTCTTTCCCTTTTTAAAAAGAAAAAAAGAAAAAAATCTATCATTGATTCAGTATGAAAAGATACTTGTAGATTTTGGGTTTGTTACCTTTTTTTTTTTTAAGGCTGATATTTTTTTGTGTTACGAGGCCACTTCTCATGCATATTGGCATTTTTTTTTCCTTCTTTCAGAGATTTGTAAATACACAATGGCAGGAAATTTAATGCACAAAAAAAAAAAAGGGAAAAGAAACTTTAAAAAAAAAAAAAAACACGAATAAATAAATAAAAAAAAATCTGTTCTAGTTTTCAGGAGGGGAAGCGTGGCCGAAATGCACCCCCCTCCTGCGTATCGCTGATGCAACTTCCTGTAACAAGCACTTTGTATAAAAAAAAAAGTGGACTTCCTGCTATAAGGCACAGGTATTTATTCTGTAACCGATTTTAGAACACACACACACACACACAAAAAATATTCAAATAAATGTGATCACTTAGTGCAAACGCCTCGCTCTGCTGCAGCTCTTCCCCCCGGGAACGCCGGCTCCGGCGGGACGCTCCCACCTGCTTTCGGGAGTAACCGCTGCCGGGGTCCCGCGGGCACCCGGCCCGTGACGGGGTTTTTTCGGGAGGGAGCAGCTGGGGGATGGGGTGCCGGGTCCCCGCAGCGCCCGTCCCCCCTCCAGCCCCCACGGGGAGGGATGCTGGAGCCGCAGCTCCCCCCCCCTCGCCCCGGCTCCCTCCCAGCCAGCGAGGATGTGAGTCAGGCGCGGAGCCGGCCGTGCCGCATCCTGCCCGCGGCCTCCAGAACAATCCCCATTGTGGGACGGGGACGGGGACGGGGACGGGGACGGTGCCTTTCCTGCCTCCGCCGCCCCGGCCACGCTGCAGCTCCAGCCCCCGGCCCTCGAGGCTTCATCCCCACCTGCAGCCCCGCGGGGCTCTGGGGGGGGGGGGGGAGGTGCTGGCAAGCACCCCGGGGCTGGTTTGGGGATCCTCCGTGCTCAGTCGAGGAAGGGCGAGGAGGAAACCTTCGGCCGGGGCGTGCGGCGGGGCCGTGGGCAGGCCTGGCTGGGGCTGCACAGGGCGAGCTCTTCATCTGGGGAAAACAGGGGCTGACTTCATAAAGCAGAGCCGCATCTTAGAGGCATTAGGGTTTTTCCATCGCTCCCCGGGCTTGGGTTCCTTTATTATTTTCCTGGTTGCAAAACATCCCCGGTTTCGTTCCTGTTTGGATTCCCCCCGTGATGCGGTGGGAAACGGGAAGGGGAGAGAGTCTCAGTGAGCTGAAGCCAGGGGAGCAGCGGGTCCAAGGGAGGGGGACCCTCGCACCCAGCCCCCCCCCCCCCCCCCCCGCATTTCACCCCGAGGGAGGCAGCAGTGCCAGCAGTGCTGGGGGGGGGGGGACGCAGCACCCCCTGCTCCCGCGTGCTCTGGGTTGGTGCCACCCTGTGCGTGGGGTGCAGAGGGCAGTGGCTCGGCCCCACTGCTCTGCCGGCTTCTTCCCAGCCTCGTCCTGCTCAGACACTTCAGGAAACGCCCAATATTTGGGGGTCTTGAGGGGGGGGATATTTGGGGGTTTGCTTCTCAGTCACGGCTAAGCGTGCCAGGGCGGCAGGAGGGAGCGGGATGTTCCCAGCCTCTGCCGCAGGGATCCCAAGATGCCTCCCCCCGTGTCCGTGTGGCCGGCTGCCAGGGTGGGGGGTAGCGGGGTAAGGGGGTGGGCGATGAGCCCCGGTGGTGACAGGGACGGAGGCAGGGGTGAGACAAGTGACACCCCTCCCTGCGGAGGGGGGACCCAGGATGGGTCCTCAGTACACAGGCAGGATCATTCCCCCCCCCCCACCCCTTAGTGCCCCCAGGTTTGCCCTCCAAGCTGGCATCATCATCCTCCTCCTCTTCCTCCTCGGTGCAGCTGCCTCCTCCCCGGAGAGCGGGCAGCTGTGGGCCAGGGCAGGCATTAAAGCACCTGTCGCCCGTAGATGGAGGGACACATGTGCAGCCCCCACCCCGCGGGGTGACCCCCCGAGGGCTTGGGACACCTTCCCCGCCACGGCCCTCCCTCACCTTGTCCCTTTGCTGAAGGGAGCAGCCCCAAAATAGGGGGTACCCCTTGCAGAGCCCCAGAGCTGCAGAGCTCTCCAGGCCCCCAGAGCCGGGCAGACGTCCCCGGTGTCCCAGCTACCTGCAGCACCACGCTGCCATCAAACCCCGCGCGTTGCTGGTGGCGGGGAGGGAGGCGATGGATGCTCGGGTGCTCAGCGGGGTTTTATTGATGGATGGCTCTGTCCGGGGGGTGGGAAAAGCAGGGGGAGCAGAGGCACATCCATAAACAGCTCGAGTTGTGAATGGAAAGAGACGGATTAGGAGCCGGGTGAAAACATGTCACACAGCGGAAAGAAAAATGAGCAGCTGGGCCAGACCAAATTGGTGTCTGATGAAGGACGTGGGGCCTGGTGGAAAAAGGATCCCGGGGCTGGCGGTGCTGCTCAAGGGAGGCTGATGGGGAACAGCTGGAGCCGGACACGCACATCTGGCGGAGCAGGGTGAGGGGAGAGACGGCGGCGCCGGGAACCGCCGTGCCTCTGGCCGCTGCTCGGGGCGCGGGGCCGGGGCTCGTCCCCCGGAGCCGTGCAAAGAGGGGGGCTGCCGCGCCACTGTGGGGTTGATGCTGGGGAGGGGGCGGCAGCACCGTGGCTCGTTCCTCAGCAGGGATTTACCCGGTGGGGTTCAGGCTCTGCCGTGCCGAGGGGTCCCCAGGTGGAGGAGCCGCTGCCTCTTTCTTCATTTGCATACACGTAAATAAGCAATCAACATAATGAGGGCAAATGCAAACCAGGCTTTCAGTTTGCAACCGAGTCCTATTTTTAACCTTGGAAAAGGGTTTCGGTAGGAAGCTGCAGGCCCTGCTCCAGTACCTGTCGCCACGTCCAGCTGTGGGGCTGCCCGCGCCGATCCCTCACCCCGACGTGCTGCTGACCCCACGGCCACCAGCGGGTCAGTGCTTGCTGCGCTCTGCTCCCGTTACCCAAAGAAACTGAAATCTCACGTCTTCGTAGAAAGGTGGACAACACGGCGTCACGCCCCAGCTGGTGGGAGCCTTTTTGGGTGGCTCGCCCACCTGCTGGGCCCCCGGGTCCCACTTCGAGCCGAGGTGTGTGCCCGGGGAACCCCCCCCCGACACCCGGGAAGTGAAGCCCCATGCTTAAAACATGAGGGGTATATTTAGACGGCGTCAATTTAAGTTTGTACATCAACCTTATAAATATGAAAGCCCATCTCGGCGAGATGTTTAAGATACCTCATCAGCCCTTGGAAAATATGCAGGAATATTAATTAGCCAGATTTGGGTATTATCTTGTAATGAATAAATGAAGAGACTTGCTGCCTAAGATGAATCACTGGCGGCTTGCTGGGTTTTGGGTTTTTTTAAGAAAAGTCTGTTTCTAAGGTAATTCACTCTTAACTCGGGCCCGTGGAGGGCCTCAGGGGATGCAGCCGAGACAGGGGCCCAGCGGGGTGGGACACCTCAGGGTGCCCCTTACATGGAGGGACCCTAATGTCTGGTGTTTTACACCCCCCTGATTTGGCCCCAGCTGGCTGCACTGCCTCTGGGGATGGAGGGACAGGGACAGGGTTGGAGCCCTGCCCCAGCTGCAGCAGCACCAGGCCCAGGATGGAGGAGGAAAGTGCAGCATTGCTTCTTTAAAAACTTATTTTTGGCTTCTTCCCCTCCCGCCCTCCATCTTCCCCTCCTGCCCTCCTGCTCTGCTCCCCCAGACGCTTTGCTCCCTCCAGCCAGGCCAGGACGGGAACTTCCCGGTTGCTGTAGAAACCCAGATGAAGGACAAACTTCAAACAAAAAAGCCAAACAAGAAATGGATGTGTACACGCCTGGACAGCCATTTTGCCGTGCCGGTATGTGGTGACTTCAGGGCCCTTCTTTGGGGTACCGCATGCAGCTGGGGGCTGCTATGGAGCTGGCAGAGGATCCCAGCCAGCCCCAAAACCCCGCATTGAGTAGTGAGCAGAGGCTGGGGGCTCCCAAGGAAGGGGCTTTGAAGGTCTCCATCACCCATGGGGTGCTAAGAGCATCACTGCACTCCGGGTTGCAGCAGGCATTGGGGTTTTGCCATCCTCGCCAGCTCTGGCACCCTGGGCACCATCCCCCCACCTGGCCTTACAGCTGAGGCGCCCCGGGGGCCCCAAGGGCCATCATCACCTGGTTTGCAAGATTTTGGGGTGGCGGAGCAGTTTCCAGATGGAGGGAAGGGTCTCGGGGCTGAGCCTGGCCAGAGGTGGCTGGGGATGGGGAGGCCGGCGCAGGGTCTGGGTCGGCTGGCCAAGCCGATGGGCCAGGCGGCAGAGCGGTGGCCCGTGGGCTCGGGGAAAGGGTGGCAGGGGGTGACAGGTCTGGCTGGACCAGCCGGCAGCTGCTGCCGCCCCGGGAAGCGTCGGCCGGACCCCGTCCCCTTGTCGTGTCCCCCCCCCCCCCCCCGGCGCGTGGCGGCTGGCGGGGCCGGGGCGGCGCGTGGGTGCGGGGCGCTGCCGGCTGCCGGAGCTGCCATTGTTTGCCTTCAATCAAGATGTTTCAGGCAGAATCAAAAGCACCAACTGGGGAAATCATCATCACAAAAAATCTTGCGCCTGCAAAATAGGTCAAGTAAGACTCCAAAGAGAGAGAGCGTCTGATCTGCATTGCAAGGAAGAATAGCAACAGCTGTGATCTCCAGTATATATGGATGGGCTGGGGGGGGGGGGATAAATATATATATCCATGCATATGTATAACCGCTTACAGCTGTTGGGCCGTATGTTCATTAGGGCCAACTGTTTTGGAGGCAGAGGGATCAGCGCTAATCGGGAAAGGGAGTTTATCATCACATTCAGAGGCAAAAGTGTCAGGAGCAACTGCAGCCCCCCCCGCCCTGCAGCCCGCACCAGCTGTGCCACGCTGAATGCGCCCGATTCAGCATGTTCCCCCCTCCCCGGCCCCCACGGCGCTGCGAGAGCTGTGGCTCTTGCCCCGGCTCCAAAAGTGGCTGCAAGCCACAGTCCCGGCCCCTGCCCGGTCCCAGACCCGAGCGCTGCTCCCGGGTGCAGAGGGGTGGTTGTGCCTCAGTTTCCCCGTTCCCCCAGACCAGCTCTCCGTGCCCACGCCATCGTCCCAGCCCCCCCCCCCCCCTCAGTTATCCCTGCTTGGTGCTGGCCTCACAGGTGCCGGCTATAAAAATGAGCTCAAAATACATGTAAATCCTCCTGTGTGACATCAGGGTGGGTGCCGGAGCCGGGGCAGGACAGCTGGCTCGGCCACCCCATGACGCCGGGCTTTGCCTGATCAGTCGGGACCCGGCTGTCACAGGCTGGGGACTGCAGTGTCCCCAGCCCACGGGTGATGCTCTCAGCGTGGGGGGGACCCACTCCCCCCAGCAGCATCCCCCTCAGCACCCCGAGCCCCCGCCGGCTCCCCGCCATCAGCCAGAAAAGTATTACAGCTTGCAGGC